TTTAGTATGCTAAGTGGAGAGCTTAGAGCTCTATCATAGCAGTGAATTGCTCTATAATAGATGGTTTCTTCTGTTTATCCCTTCCTCATAATTTTCACATGATAGATTGTTTTTAATGAAAACAGCTAGATGTTATTTGATTCAGGGACCAAATTAAGGAGAACACTATGTAATCCTGGGCTTATTTTTTTCTTTTCTTATAGGAAAAGTAAGAAGCTTAAGCTCATCTTTGTGGTCATTAACTCACTTGACAGCTTTGCATCTGAGTGACAATTTCCTGTCCCGCATTCCTTCAGACATTGCCAAGCTACATAATCTGGTATATCTGAATCTGTCCTCAAACAAAATCCGGAGTTTACCAGCAGAACTCGGAAACATGGTATCACTCAGGTATGTAGATTTAATTCACTATTTAACAATATATCCCTTAAAACAAAATACAGCATTCATTTTGTTAGGAAGCAACAATACCAAATCATTGGTTTTTGAACAGAAGTTAACTGTATCCTTTCATACAGTTTTTTTTTTAATTGGCACTAAATTTTTAATCAATTACTACCTAAAATTGGCTTTGTTGCTGTATTTTGTGTAATGTGTTTTATTCTTGAACCAGAATTTTTGGACAAACTGGGGATAAACGAATGGAAGGCAGATACACAGTTATACACTCTTCATATGACAGACCAATATGATGCTCTCTCCCCTCTAAATTCTGGGGCATCATTCTGTCCTTAACACAGGTTTCAGGAAACAGCTGAAAAATTGGTGAAACCTTTTGATGTCTTAGGGCTAGTACATATGATAATAATAAAGCCTGGATTTGAAAGAAGTTAGAATTAGTCATTGAATTTGGGAAACTGCTGTGGGATGTAGGAAGTGGTAATAAGTGGAGTCATAGAATTCAGATGGGAATCCTGACTTTGCCATTTAAAGGTTGTACAGAGTTTGATAGGTTTCTAATGCTTTGATAAGCTGAGCTCCTCATCTGTGAAGTTGCTGTAATAACCACCCAGCCCAGGCTGAGACTGGAGATATTTGAGATGAGTAGAAAATCACTAGCACCCTGCCTGGCACATAATGTATTCAGTAAGTTATTTTTGTGACCTCTGTTTTTAAAGAGGTAGATGAAATCTACTCAAGTTGATTGAATATAAAGGCAACCTCTAGCCTTTTTGTTAATCTCAGTGAAAAGTCTTGTCCCATTACAGACATCTTACCTGCTTTTTAATTATTCCACTGAATTTTCTACTTCCTTCTACCATATACTGCATAGTATATGCAGTAAAAAATAAGGACCTTGTGAAAGTTCCTTTAGTCTAGTCTAACCTTGACTTTTTGTAGACTTAATTTTAATTATTGAGTAATACTATGGCCATTTTTATCCCCTGAACCAAATTTACTTAAAGAGCCTCCTTTCCTGTGTGATATATTTGGAAATATACAGCAGCTGGTTATTCAGTATTTGTTTTGCTTGTTCAGTTGATGGCCTCACCAACCTTTAAACAGTAGTAACCAAGGTTCACTTAAATTTCAAGAACCAAGGATTATAGATACAGTTCTCATTCACATTTAAAATTTGATAAGTAAAACTTACTTTAGGATTTTACCAGAATATCAGTATTGGGTTTTTTTTTTTAACTGAAGATTCTGTTGCTATTTATAATATGGTCGTCCATACAAAACAATAATTGAAATAGTCATTAATATATAACAGGACAGCCATTATTTCTAAAGTAAAACTAATAATTTGGGGAAATGTTGATCATAGCTGAGTTGTGCAACTATCACAAACTCTTTTAAGTTGGTAGTATGTGATCATTTTATTTTTGTAAAAGCAAATCATATATTAGGCTGTTTTATCATTCCACTTTTCTTAAGTATGTGTAATAGGTCCCGTGTGTGCTAGAACAGTGCTGATTTCAGGGTGATCTGTGGATTTTGCCAGGTATACAGCAAGTGAGAATGATTTTGAAATCTGTTGAATGTAGTACCCTTAATAGGGTGTATATTTTGTTTGCCTTTTTTTTTCCTCATTTCATTTTTTTAGTCATTTTCCCTCTGTATTTTACATATGTATTGGTCTGTGAACGTTTAGTTCTTTTTGTTTTGTTTTTACCACATATGGTTTGAGAAGCACTGTATTAGATATTGGAATACAATATTTTTGTCATTTTTAGCAGCTTATATTCCTAGAAATTACATGGTTGATTTTAGCTGTTAGTTAAAGGTTGCTGTATCTTCTGACTTCCTGGAATTTTTACATCAACAGGGAACTCCATTTAAATAACAACCTGTTACGAGTTCTACCTTTTGAGCTGGGAAAACTGTTTCAGTTGCAGACTTTAGGCCTGAAAGGTATGCCTTCCCTATTTGTGCTTCTTATGGTTTGTATGTATGTCTTTGAGTCTAAAGAAGCCATAAGAGAGAGTCCTTTTGCCCAGGGGATTTTCAGACTCTTTCCCCAAACATCATCAGTTTTTTTTTTTTTTTCCCCTACACCCCAATGGTTTTCTTTCTTTATCTGTAGATTGTCTAGTCTTTGTTATATTCTTTTTCCTTCTAGCACAGCTTAGCTTTTCTTATTTCTGTCAGTCATTCCCATGTTTTCATGGTATGTTTTCAGTTCATACTTTATTTCATCTCACTCTAAATAGCTTTTTTCTCTTATTTTCAAATCTCAGAAAATGGAGACTCAGGAAATGCAGAAAGCAATAAATAAAATTTTTGATCTATTTGGACCCATTAGCACTATTGAGCAGTTTTTAAAAAGTTGATTTATGGGAATTTGACTCATATTAGGATTTAGGAACATCACTGACTCAGTAAGAACTGTTGGGAAATCAGTATTAAATTAGCAAGATTAAAAGTCACATTTTAATAATATGGTAATACCTGTAAACTTAATCACATTAAGTAATTCTTCACCAGCCTTGCCAATCTATCCATATTACTCTATATTTGAATTCCTTTAAAATAAAAATTGCATAATTCTTCAAGAATTGCATTCTTATTTCTTAAAAATTCAGTTACAAAAGGATTTTTATTCCTATAAATCCACTTCCTGTCATGAAAGTAATGATATTATTCACCTTAAAAATGATGATAAAATTATTCATAGTAAAAATTACAAATAAGACATTACAGATATATGTAAAACTGTATTTTAAAAAACTTAAGCTTTATAAATAGTTCTTTGGGAAGTTTTTTTCTGTGTGACTTGACTGGCTGAGGTCATGGAAGTGTCAGGGAGATAAATCAAGTTTGCTGCATATATAATAACTTGCCTTTTCAGTAGCCAACAGGAAAAAAGGTAAAGTGCAGCAAAGTGTATCCATATGCTGACCACCTAACTCAGCAATTAATATGTTGTCTGTTAAGACAAGAGAGAACATTACAAAATTGTTAAAGGCCCTATTTCTCTTTTAGTCCTTTTTTCTGTAATCTTACAATATTTATTTTGCAATCTTAGTTCATATTCATTTCTCTAAGGTTTCACAAATTCTATTTGAATTTAGGGTCATTTGGTCACAAATACACTGATTTAAATGCAGTAAAGCCTCTGAAAGTGAGTGCCCAGGAAGGGTAAAACAGTCTTCATAGCCACTTGGTTTTGATTATCCCCTTTTTTTGATTATCCCCTTGGTTTTGATTATCTCCTTTACTATTTTATAGTTAGAATTTTATCTTTGTTATTTGGAACTTCGGTTTCACAGATTCTTATTTAGCTTAGATGTCCTGTTGGACATTATTACACATATATCTATAATGGCATATTTCCACAGATTTAACTTTTTTTTTTTTAAACAGATCCCATGTTATTTCCCTGTACTTTGCAGTTTGTTCTTTAACTCTATTTAAAGAGCTGTCTTTCTGTTATACCATCCTTGTTCTCAGAAAACTTTTGTGATTGTTATGGCACCTGTTATTTGGAAGAGAAATCTATCACTTAGTTTAAAAGTCATGTTTATTTGCTATATTATCCATTCTAACAGCCTCTTGAAACAATGTTATTATTGACTTTAAAGTTGATTACATGAGGCTAGCATGCTTTCCTTTCTTTTTACCTGCCCTGCTCTTCAGGTTTGTTCTACAGTGAAAGGCAGGGCAATGACCTTAAATGGATATTCTCTTTACTTTTTATTTTGAGATTCTTATAGATTCTCATCTGTTAAGAAATCAACACAGAACAATATTTACTGGTTACCTAATTTCCCCATTAGTACCATCTTTCAGAGCTATACTACAGTTTCACAAGATATGGAACTTTTCTAGCACCAAAGTATCCTTCTTGTTTTCCTTTACTAGCTGTGCTCACTTTATTTCTGCTCCTCACTTCTTAACTTGTGATAAATGTAAATATATCATCTAGCTCTGTTATTTTGTATTTCAAATAGTCTGTAAGTAGAATCACACTGTATATAATCTTTGAGAATTTTTTTTTTCTTTTCAGTCAAGTAAATTCCTTAAAGATTCATCTAGGTGTTGCATGTATTAAATAATTGCATGCATTAAATAAAGAAGCCCTTTATTCTTTTATGTTGACAAGTAGCTTCTCATGATATTGATGTATCATGGTTTGATTTGAGCTTTCAATCATTGAAGGCTATCAGAGTACTGTTAAGATGGAGCTGCTGTGAATTCTGCATACAGGTTAATGTGTAACACAGTTGTTCATTGCTCTAGGATAAATGCCAAGGACTGAAGCTGCTAGGTCATCTGGTAGTTAGTTGCATGTTTAAAAGTCATGTTTATTTGCTATATTCATTCTAACAGCCTCTTGAAACAATGTTATTATTGTTGCATGTTATTATTAATGTTGCATGTAGTTAGTTCTTTTTAAAGAAACTGCCAAACTTTTTGAGCATGACTGTTATTTTACATTCCCACTGCAGAAAGCTATCCTTTTCTCTGCATCCTTGGCAACATTTAATACTGTCATTCTGATAGATGTGTAGTAATACTTCATTGTGGTTTTAATTTGCATTTCCCAATGACAGTGAACATCTTTATATGTGGTTACATACCATCTCTATTTTTGTGCGATATCTCTTCATTTCTCTGTCCATGTTTTATCTAATTAGATTGTTTCACTTGTTGAATATTGGGACTCATTTATATATTCTAAATATTAGATCTTTGTCATAGAGGTGATTTGCACACATTTTCTCCCAGTATGTAGCTTGTCTCCCAGGATGAAGGTTAACAGGGTCTTTTTGTAACAATTTTTAAATGTCGATGAAGTGTATCTATTTTGGTCTCCAGTTTGATTAACTCTTGGGGTTGCTCTAGATCCCAAAGATTTTCTCTTTTTTAACAATGTCCTGCTTTTCTGTGTTCCTTTCAGGGCTGTAATCCCTTTTGAGTTAAGAAAAGTAAAAATTTTTTTTAAGAGTTTATAATTTTTTGCCTGTGTATGTCCAGTTGGTACAGTACCATTTGTTGAATAAGCGACTTTCCCTCATTCTTTTTTAAAACAGTTGGATATACCTATTTTGGACCTAGTTCTGGATTCTCTGCTGTTCCACTTAACTATAGGTCTGTTCCTCTGCTGATACCATTTAATGATTTGAAACTTGAAATAGGGTAATGAACCTTGAAATAGGATAGATTGCTTCTTCCACTTAAGTCTTCATTTTCTAATTGATTTTAGCTATTCTTATTCCTTTGCCTTTCGTACACATTTCAGCGTAATCTTATTTAGTTACAAAATTGCTGAGAATCTGATTGGAATATAGTACAGTCTCTGTATCAAATTTAGAAAAATTGACATCTTTTCTACGTTGAGTCTTTTAGCCCAGGAATTGGTATTGTCTCTGCTTAATTAGACCCTTTGATTTCTTTTTTTTAAAATAACTTGTGTGGATTTGGTATAAAGTTCTATAAATGTTTTGTTTCATTTGTTATTTTTTTGAGTGATTATAAATTCTGTTATATTTTAAATTTTATGATATCTGTGTTCATTCTTAGTATTTAGCAATACAGTCGATCTTTGTGACTTTATCTTATATCTTTCTCTACCTGTTTGAACTCACTTCTAGAAATTCTAGGAATTGTTTGGTAAATAGTTTGGGATTTTTTTTTTACACAGGAAATTGTCATCTGTACATAAGGATATGTATGTGTCCAATATGTGTTCTTTATCTTTCCTTGTGTTATTGCATTGACTAGATCTTTTAGCACTGTTAAATAAGAGTTGTGAAAGCAGAAGTCCCTCTTTTTAATAGATATTAGAGAGTATTAATTCTTCGCTATTGACTGTAATCTTAGTAGTTATTTTTATTAATGTGCTTCATCATTTTGAGGAAGCTTCCCTCTGCTGAAAATTTTTAATCACGAATTTCGTTTTATTAGATGTTAATTCTATACTAATTGCTATAGTCATATAGCTTCTGGTAATGTTTGAATATTGAACCAGTCCTGTATTTCTGGAATAAACCCCACTTGGTCCTGACATGTGATTCTTTTTATTTATTGCTGACTTACATGTGCATATTTTTCTTAAGAATTTTTTACTCTGCTAAGGGATATTTGCCCATTTTGTTTGGTTTGGTTTATTTCATATTGATTTTGGTGATGAAGTTATCTGAAATTAATGCATTTGAAAATGTTCTCTCCTCTGTTATTTTTTTCCTGCCAGTTGGTGGAAAGCTGGATACAGTTTTCCAGTGAAACTATCTGGGGTTTAGTGTTTTCCTTTCTGGTAGCTTTAAAGTTACACATTCATTTCCTTTTATAAGTATGGGCTTTTCAAATTACCTGAATTGTGACTTTTCATTTCTAATGCTGATGCAGTTGGTGCTTCACATTTCCCTCATAGCTCTAATCAAGTGTACATTGTGATATATTGCATATTTAACTTCCTCATTGTACTATTAAATTTCTGTTGAGGCTTTATTGTTGATCCATGGGTTGTTTAGTTTTCTAAGTACTTGTAAATTATTCTACTGTTTTTCAGTTATGGATTTTTTTTTTAAAGATTTATCTATTTATGCATACAGAACTAGGGTACAGGCCAGATATGCAGGGGAAGTGAGAGGATTCACCAGAACCAGAGTGGGGAGCAGAATAGGCTGACTGACGAAGTACACTGCTGAAGGGAGCAGTGGGTGGTTCAGTAGAGGTCTGCGGAGCCATGAACCTTGTGGATCACTTCAGGGTGGGAATGGAACTCATGCTGAGGTGGCTTTAGCTTCTTAGTGCTGTGCTTTAACCCGTTGCATCACCAGGGAGGACCCCCAGTTACAGGTTTTTAATGTGACTCCATCGTGGCTCAATATATTCTGTATGATTTCAGTTATTTTAAGTATGTTGAAGTTTGGTATATCACCTGAAAAATGGTCTCTCCAGTATATATA